ACGAGCACCACCACTATCTCATTATTCTCTGTCTGCTTCGTGTACATGCAAGAATCTACCGAGTTCTGCTGAAAATCTTTCTCCAACAAATGGTCACGTAATACACAGTTCCAATTTCTGCCGGATTGCTTTAATCCGTACCGTGATCTGTTTAACCTGTAGACCAGTCTATCACCACTTTTGGGTGTTTTTTCAAACCCTTTCGCCTGATCAATGTAGATCTCGCAGTCAATTGGTGCATTGAGATACGCAGTTTTCACATCCATTTGATGCAATACCAAATCATGTTGGGCAGCCAGCTGCATTAGTACGCGCACAGAATTTAGATTTGCAGTTGGAGCAAATGTTTAGTTGTAGTCGACATCTCTGACCTGGCTGTACCCTTTCGCCACATACCTTGCTTTGTATGTTTGAGAGTTATCGGCACCTTCTTTCACAGTATAGACCCAGCGTCCACCAACCGACTTTCTGCCTTCAGGAAGGGTAGTTAAAGAGAAGGTATCATTTTCTTTCAGTGATTTCATTTCTTCATTCATTGCCTCCTTCCATCGTGCAGATTCATTTGAATTTATCGCTTCCTCGTAATTCTGAGGGAAATAACACATCTTGTAACAATAATCAATGGTGGCATTCATCTGGTCATCTTCATTACCATCACCTAGGTCAAAATCTTTCAATTGACCTGGAAGTTTTCTATTTCTCGTCGGATACCTGGGGGTTTCCCCCGAATCGTTATCCGTGGCAGCTACACCCGAATCATTACCTGTGGCAGCTTCACCTTCGTCGGTTTCACCTGGTACTGCCTCACGGACAGCCCTTGGACATACATCGAAATCTGATTCATCCGAATCAAGCTCAATTTGTGTACATTCTCCCCCAAAAGTTTTGGCTCCACCCTTTGGGAAACGAACTACTCGGTGCTTCATAACCTTCCCAGTGCTAGGCATGTAAACCAGGTACGCAGGGCTACCCTTGTCATATCCGACGAATATACCTTTCACACCCCTGCTATCTAGTTTCTTCGCAACCTGTCTGTAGACATAGCACTCTACACCGAATACATGCATTTTGGATAGGTCAGGCTTGCGACCTGTCATCGCAAAATACGGAGTTTGCTCGATTCGTTGATTGTAGCATCTGTTTCTAATGTGTTGCTGCCATCACAGCATTAGGCCAGAATTTCTCGGCCCAACTTGGTCTCGTGTTAACCAACATCTACCATCTCGAACAGCGTCGCAATCGTCGCTCGGCCGTTCCATTTGTGGTGGGGAATACGGTGCACTGGACTCATGCTTGACTTCGTTCCGTCTCAAGAGGCTTCGAACTCATTCGACGTGAATTCAGTACCATTGTCTGATCTGAGTGATTGCCCAAGAAATTGAACACTTTTTTATCTAATAATTATTTTAAATTGCGGAAATTTGAATTAAGTTTTCTATGCCAGTAGATGTCGGCATGAGTAATTCTTATTTATTTGCTTAGCACGGTAAAATCCGACACATCGCGAATAGCTGTAAGGCTAATTATGTAATGATATAAGATTAGTAAAATTTGATGCAGACGACCAATCAAATCGGCTTATTACATTACATTACATTACAAAGACCGTCTTAATTCTTTTGTTTTGCAGTAAAAGAATAAAAGGCAACTTGCTTCAATATGTGCATGCTCTAATACTGATCTCTCAGTCGATCTACATAATCTGACACATAAAATAATGTTGATTGCGTGTACGCAATTGTCTTTGACCACATCGAAATAATCGAGTGTATTGAAGACAGGCGTGAGTAAAGGATTAGAAATTTGATGTTGTGATGGCAACACCAGATTGTGATAATAACGTTATATTTCGACTGTGTGCGTGCGTGCGTGCGTGCGCGTGTATATGTGTGCGCGTGTGTGCGTACGTGCGCGCGTGTGCGTGTGCGTTTGTATGTGTGTGCGCGTGTGCGTACGTGTGTGCGTGCATGTGTGTATGTATGTGTGTATGCGTGCGCGCGTGGGTGTATGCGTCTGCGCGTGTGGGTGTGTGCGTCTGCGCGCGTGCGTGTAGGTGTGCGTGACACACACACACACACACCTACACACAAATGCGTGTGTGTGTGTGTGTGTGTGTGTGTGTGTGCGTGCGTGTGTGCGTGCGTGCGTGTTTGTCGTGCATGTGTGTGCATGTCTGTGCATGTGTGCGTGTGTNGGTGCTTCATAACCTTCCCAGTGCTAGGCATGTAAACCAGGTACGCAGGGCTACCCTTGTCATATCCGACGAATATACCTTTCACACCCCTGCTATCTAGTTTCTTCGCAACCTGTCTGTAGACATAGCACTCTACACCGAATACATGCATTTTGGATAGGTCAGGCTTGCGACCTGTCATCGCAAAATACGGAGTTTGCTCGATTCGTTGATTGTAGCATCTGTTTCTAATGTGTGCTGCTGCCATCACAGCATAGGGCCAGAATTCTCGGCCCAACTTGGCCTCGGTTAACACACATCTACCCATCTCGAACAGGGTTCGCCAATGTCGCTCGGCGGTTCCATTTTGGTGTGGGGAATACGGTGCACTGGTCTCATGCTTGATCTTGTTCCGTCTCAAGAGCTGCTTGAACTCATTCGACGTGAATTCAGTACCATTGTCTGATCTGAGTGATTTCACTTGCCCCCATGGAGCAGAATCGGCCAGAAATTGCTCAGTGGCCTTGACCGTGTCACCTTTACTTTTCATAAAGTATACAAATACTGCACCGGAATAATCGTCGGTAAACGCTATTGCGTACTTGAAGCCATTTTTCGAAATCGGATCAATCGGGCCAGCCAAATCTGTATGCACCAACTGTAATGGAACTGTCGAACGAACACGTGGCTCTCTCGACCTCTCTTTGGTCATTTTTCCCTCAACACAAGTCGCACAATCATTTGACTTTGTTCCCGACCCTGTGATCCTCATACCATCTACCACGTTCTCGAGTTTTGAGATATCATCATTGTTGCAGTGACCTAAAATTTTGTGCCACCCCTGAATGTCATGCTTGGCCACATTCACTTTGTCACTCTCACACACATCAAATGTATTCAGGTAATACAGTCTTCCATGACACTCTAAGTCAAATTTTACGCCCCCTTTGTGTCTTAGCACAGCACCATCTGGTGTAAACACGACGCTTGCTCCCGCTTCCGTTGACGCTTGCACGGAGAAAATGTCCTGTGGGTACGAAGGGATCAGCAACGCGCTTTTCAACACCGCATCTACCAGGTTTCCTTGGTTGTCCTTGACCTTCACTGTCGCTATGCCTCTCGCCTGAGCGACATTGTTGCTGCGCGTACCGTCGGCGAGCTCGATATAATGCTTCTCCGGTCGAAATGACTTATCGAAACTCACGAATTTTGATTTGTCCGTCACAATGTGTGCGGTTGCACCACAATCCACAAGCAGGTTCCCTGATCGAACTGAACTCGCGGAACTATCACTTGCTCTAAATGCGAACGAATGTTCATCATCATATGCCGAATCAACCGCTTGCTTGGCTTGATCCTTTGGATTCCTCTTTCGGCACGAACTGTCATTGTGCGTACTGCTCTTACACGTATGACACCAAAGCCTGGCTTTCGGCTTACATTGTCGCGCAAAATGGCCTATCTCCCCGCATTTGTAACATCTTGGATCTCTTCTTTGGTTTTGATTTGCGTTCCCGGATGCCCTCACATTCATAACCGACTCCCCTTCATTAGAACTCGCTCGTGCCCGCTCTGTGTCATCGAAACTGCGAAGGGATACTTTAAAGTCTGTAAAGTTGGGTTCCTTATCACTCTGAGTCACAACCACCACAAAGGATTTATATTCATCCGGGAGTCCTTTCAGCGCCATTGCAACTAATAAACTATCGTTTACTGTCTCTCCTGCGTCACGCAGAGCTGCGGCTGCTGTCTCTGCACGGATGACATAATCGGTGATTGTTTCACTGGCACGTTTTGTGAGCGTCGTCAACTCTGTGTAGAGCGATATGATCCTGGGCTTGCCTTTACCGGCATAATGTTCTTTCAGATTCTCAACTGGCCCTTCCTACCGTCATCAACTGCAATCTCGCATCAACACGACAGGCTCTTGTCTACCAGGAACTGGATTAGCTCGGCGTTATGCCTCTTCATCATTCTTCTCCGGCAAAGTCCTCACTTGTCGGCGTGCGGAGGGGTTCGCAGGTGATATGACATCCTTCAACTTGCTCAGCCTCATGTAGCCTAAGAACTTTACCAGCCATTGTTCAAATTTCCTTTCATCCCCGTCGAACACTAGGCGCGCATATCGACCACCTGTCGTGATACTGGGCCCATAACCTGTATGAGGAGGAATAAATAATACTGGGCCCATAACCATGACGGAGGAATAAATAGCAAAACACAGGAGAAAAATGACAATTCACTCTCAGATGTCAACCATATTGGGTAAAGGATTGTGGGATGGTGGTTATTTATTAGTATACCAATGTCCACCAGGGGGAACCTGATTAGTACAAGAAACATACACCAGTAGTATTTGAGGTCATTATGATTTACAATCTAGATCTTCTGGATCTAACAGGAGGGCTATAGTTCTAGAGCTAGTTTTGATAGCACACTGACAGATTATTTTGATACACATTAGCCCTACTCATTAGCTCTGGCCTCTAGAACTATACTATAGTCCTTCGCTCCTCCACAGGCGCAACAGGCATGTGGCGGAGCGAAGGGCTATAGTTCTAGAGCTAGATACACATGAGCTACTAAATACTATTAAATGTAAATGTGCTTGGGCACCCCTATTGGCTATTGCCATTGCCATCGGTGATCACCTAACAATAGTGGCAATTTTGGGCATCCTGAACCAATAAACGGCGGAATGCATACCAGACAGACAGAGAGACAGACAGAGTTGGTTCTTGTAGTACTAGTAGTATAGTCTGTATTATGTAGGTTGGACAGTGCAAAAATTTTGTTTAATTACCAATGATTGTTTTGGATTCTTCAGAAAGCGAATAGCTGGGTAAGCTATTGTGCCTAGTATCAAAACAATGGAGGCAGCGCATACGTGGCCAAAGGATGTTGGGATTATCGCCTTGGAGATTTACTTTCCATCACAGTACGTCGATCAATCCGAGCTAGAGGATTTTGATGGCGTGTCGAAGGGAAAATACACAATTGGTCTTGGCCAATCAAAGATGGGCTTTTGTAGCGATAGAGAAGACGTGCAGTCACTATGTTTGACTGTACTGCAGCGTCTTGTGGAACGGAACAATCTATCCTACGACATGATTGGGCGCTTAGAGGTTGGCACGGAAACCGTGATCGACAAGTCGAAGAGTGTCAAGACTGTGTTAATGCAGCTGTTTGAAAGCAGCGGGAACTGCTCAGTGGAGGGTATAGATACAACTAATGCGTGCTACGGTGGAACCGCAGCATTGTTTAATGCATTGAATTGGGTTGAATCCAGCTCCTGGGATGGTAGGTAATAGGAATTGTTTTGTATTTAGAAATGAATTTATGTTGTAACTTTCTTTATTGTGACCTGTGCTGAAAATTTCCCTTTTTGTCAAGTTATTTTTTTTTAAGTAGCCAGAAGCATGCCTACATGTATTTTGATTTTTAATGTTTCTTAATGTCTGGTTATTCTTGCTCAGCTCCTCAGCTATCCGTTCATGCACATAACATGGTAAATGTACAGGAACTTGTAAGTTATAGATCTCGTATATTCACCCTCTATAGGCAACTAAGTTGTTCATGCTGCACATTTGTTGTTGGTTGTGCACGTATTGGAGTGCAATTCACAACCAGTAGACCCTTCCTCTACTAAATTTCATCTCGAATATTTTCAGGCAGGTATGCCGTTGCAATTGCCGGTGACATCGCGGTTTATGCAACAGGAAATGCGCGATGTACAGGAGGAGCAGGAGCTGTGGCCATGCTGGTTGGACCCAATGCATCCCTTATGGTGGAACGTGGTACGTGACTCGTTAGAGAACCAATCCCTTCCCTGGCTACAGTTGCTAGGTCCAGTTAAGCGCACCCAGTTTGTATATTATTATAGACCTGCGCATACCAAAATTTTTATTAAGTACTTCATTCCCAAACATTGTCATTAGGATATCCTGTTGCAAAAATCACTTGCTAGACCTGGGGTTTAGCGGACAACTCGGGAGTTAGCGGAGGAGATAGCGGAGAATATAGCGAACGGAGCTTTGTGAAACGCGTAGCGGAGGACGCGTTTCACGAACCTCCGTTCGCTAAAGTCGCTCGCTTTTTACCGCACTTTAGCGGACAACTTTAGCGGGAGCTCCTGCACGTCCCGCTAAA